ATAATTTTTTTTTTTTTTTTTTTTTTTTTGGTACCAGGGCTCGAACTCAGAACCTTGTGCTTTCAAGGCAGGCACAGCACCACTGAGCTAAATCCTCAGCCTGGCCAGGTAATATTCTATTGTATGGATACATGATATTTTGTGTACCCATTCTTCAGTTGCTGGACACGTATGTGGGTTGTTGCTATCTTTTTGCTGCTATGACTAATGTTGCTCTACACATTTGTTTGCAAGGTTTTAAGGGTTGTATGTTTTAGTTGCTCTTGGGTATGGACATAGGAGTAAAATTACTGGGTTGTTCAATAACTCTGTTTAATCTCTTGGGGAGCTGCCAGGTTAAGAACATACGCTTTGTTTGTTTGTTTGTTTTTTGGTACTGGGGATAGAACTCCAGACCTTACACTTGTGAGGCAGGCAGCGGCACCACTGAGCTAAATCCCTGGTCTGAACATACCCTTTTAATTAACTGAAAAAATATGCCTGTTCTTTGGATAATGTTTTAAAATACAGAAAATTTTGAAGATAAAAATGTATAACCACCTTAACTTCATTGCTGAATTAAGAAGATCCTTGTAGAACATTTCTCCATGCATATTGTTTTTAATGAAGCTACATTTGGTCTGATATCTTGTACCTGCATTGTGAACATCTTTTCATGTCAACAAATATGAGATTTACACTTTTTACTCTAGGAATGCTTTGTTCAAAAGACCATTTTTAGAGCTAGGAATTTAGCTCATTGGCACTGTGCCTGTCTTGCAAGTGCCAGGTCCTAAGTTCGATCCCAGGTATTGCCAAAAAAAAAAAAAGAAAGACCATTTTTACTGGATGTGATGGTGTACACCTGTAATTGCAGCTGCTCGTGAGAGCTGAGGCAGGAAAATCATGAGTTTGAGACCAGCCTCAGCAACTCAGTGAGACCCTCTTTCAAACAAACAAACAAACAAACAAAATACACACAGACCTATCTTCTAGGAGTCCAATATATAATCATTCCATAATCAGTTGCTTATTGAGCTCTGCCAGGTGTCAGGCATCCCTACCTAATTGCCCCTTTTCTTTAAAGGCTGCAGGTACTGCAGCTACAGAAAAAAACACCTCCCCTACTAAAGAACAGTGACATAAGGAACATACATCTGTTTGTGTTCATCTGTGTATGTAAGGAGGTGATAAAGCACATCTGTGTGCACTTTTGCTTTCTCTTTAAAAGAAATCCCAGTGGGCATGTTGGTACATAGCTATAATGTCAGCATTCTGGGAGGCAGAGGCAGAAAGATCACAAGTTCAAGGTCAGCCTGGGCTACTTAGTGAGACTCTATCTCAAAATAAAAAGAGGTAAGGATGTATCTTAGTAGTAGTGTACTTGCCTAGCATGCATGAGGGCCTGAGTTCAATCCACAGTACTGAAGAGGGGTGGAGCACAGAGACAGAGAGAGGAGTGAAGAAGTAAACAATGGGCCTGGCCTATTCAAAGTGCTGGGAGACTGGAAGATGTATATAAATGTCTGGGTCCCTGTCCTTCAGTAGCTCAGTCAGCTTAAGGACGTAAGACTCAGGGAAAGGAGGTTTCAATGTGCAATGCTGTACTTTCCAGCAGTCCCTCCTTAGGAATCTGTTCTATAGATAGAATACTGGCAGCTACAGGCTTCCTTTGCTGTATCACTGTAAAAGCCAACAACCAGCCAGGTGTGGTGGGTGGCACACACCTTGTAATCCCAGTACTCTGGGGGTCTGAGGCAGGAGACTCAAAAGTTTGGTTTTTTGGGGTCAGGGAGGATCAAAAGTTTGAGCCCAGCCTGGGCAAATTAGCAAAACCTATCTCAAAAAACAAAAACAAACAAACAAACAAACAAAAAATAACAGGACAGGGGATGTAGCCCAGTTCAAAAGACCTGGGTTCAATCCCCAGTACAATCAATTAATCCATCAATGTAATAACCTACATATTTAGCATTAGGGACTTGTAACAGAGACCATTATGATCCTAATATAGATTTATCTTCAAGTAAAATGAAGAAAAGTTTGGGAACAATATTTATATACTGTTTGTGTACTTTTTTGTCTGTAACTTTCTAAAAATAGGCAAAAAGGCATATTTTTTCTTGTAAACATGTAGACCTGCACTGTCCAGTATTTTAGCCAGTAACTGTATATGCCTCTGAAGCTGTTGAAATGCACTAAGTAGAAACTGAGGTGTGCTTTGAGTATAGAACACACATTGAATTTGAGGACTGGGTATCAAATAAAAGTATGTTGACATGTTCAATAATATTTTGAATGTACTATGTTAAAATGCTAAGCAGGTGCCTTACTACTGACCTACATCTCCAGTGCTTTGTACTTTTTAAAACTGAGCTATAAGGAAATTTACACTTTCACATGTGGCTCACATTTGTGCCTACCATTATGTTTCTATTGGCATCTCAGGGGAATGTGCAACACAGTTATAGTAGTGGCTGCCTCTGTCCTGAAGGTTTTTGTGGGATCAGGGACTGACTTTTCACTGCCATTTTGTACCATTTCAATATTCTCCTTTATCTGAGTGTTTGGTGGCATGTAACAACTTAAACTGGTTGGTTTTAAATAGTGGTGTATGGCTGGAATCCCAGCACTCTGGGAGGCTGAGGCAGGAGGACTGAAAGTTTGAACCTAGACTGGGCAACTTAGCAATTTATTTGAGACCCTGTCTCAGATGGATGGATGGGTGTAGCTCAGTGTGAAGCTCTTGGTTCAATCCCCTGTACTGAAAAAACAAACAAACCAAGAAAAAAGCAAAAACCACACAAGCCATGACCAGAAAACACCAGAAAAAAGTTCCACAAAGGTAAAAGTCCCATAAAGGCTGTGTAAGAGCAGGCTTGGAAAAGCAAAAGAGATTTTGGAAACAAGTGGTAGTGTTTCCCCTTTTTCTGCCCAGACCCCAGGTCACACAGACACCCTTGAATGAGCCCAAAGCTTCATGAGCTCAGGCCCAGGGTGTTTGCTTCTGAAGGAAAATGGAGACCTCTCCACCCCACAAGTGTGGTGAACAGGGTCTGGTAGGGTGAGAGGAATCAGTCCTTTTACAATGATAGTTGCAACTAATTCTTCTAACTTATTTTTTAGTTTTAATTGAGCACATACTCTGTGATCCAGTTGGTAAAAGGAGATTCAGGAAGACACAGAGTTGGTGTGTGCTGAGTTCTGGAAGGACTCCTCTGTGCTCCCCTCCCAGGATGCCCAGGGCTGTGCAATTTCAGGGGGTTTTTCAAATCAACACAGCATACACTCTGGAGATGTGTGTGTTGGGTAGGGGGGGCACTGGGGAGAGACCCTACTGTGTTGGCTTTGAAAATGACATCCTCGAAGCAACTTATTTCTGGAGGGAGGCCTCACAGGGGGCCCATTTCCCTCACCCTCCTGTGGGCAGGGGCTGGAGGTCCCAAGCTTAACCCCTGGCCCACAGAGGATGAACAAGAAATGCCCTCTTTGCAGTACCTAGCCTGGCACAGCACAGGAGCTGAGGAAAATGCCCAGAAAAGGCAAGGTTGCAGTTCCACCTTGGTCAGCTGTCAGGTGGCCTGGGGTCTTCTCTTCCTCTCCCTCCTCAGGTCACCTGTCCTACTCAGTGCTGTTCCTTACCGGGCCCTCCCTTTGCCACCCCCACCTAGTGCACAGCATGGTTGGGACCTCCCCTGCCTCACCAGAGGCCACATCTTCCCTGGGTGGCAGAAGCTCCCCTAGCTTTCGGGTGCTCTATTTCTCAGCTCCGTCCAGAAAAATAGGCTTGGTTGGAAGGTGATTGGATAATTGGAAAATGCTCACTGTAAACTAATGACAAATTCAGCCACCCTCAACATCAAAGAAACCCCAATTACGCTGTCATTGACACCAAATTAGCCAAGCCATCAGTGGGTATTAGATCCTTCCCCAACTGGGTTCTCCGGTCCCCTAACTGTCCGCAGCAAGATCCATGACTAATGCCAGAGAAGCCTGGGCCTTTTGCGGTCAAGTCTAGCCTGCCCCCGGCCGGATGCGCCCACTCATTCTGCCCGTTGGCGGCCCCAAGTACAGCTGGTAGCCTGAGCGGGGAGTGGCTTCACCACTTGCCCAAACGTGTGACCCTGAACGAGTTAAAGAACTCCAAGCCTCTACGCGCCCGGCTGTAAAACGCACCGGGAACGCAGAGCGCGCAGCACAGCTGTATTGGGACAACTTCCCGGAGCCAGGTGAAGCATCTCGCGGTCCCCATGGGCGGTTACGCGCGGTGTTAACCGCGTGGGTCCTTCTGAGGCCATGCTGAAGGTGGCTGCTTCCTCGGAGCGTGTGTAGCTCCAAAGCGGGTCCCAAGAGGAGATACTGTGCAGACTAGGATCCTCGGGTCCCGAGCTGAGGGAGGGAAGAAGAGAGCAGGGGCGGCGGCGAACCCCAATTCTCGCCGCACCCAGAGCCTGTCTGCTGGGCAAACCGGGTTTGTCCAGCCCCGCGTTCCACCCTGCGGGCCCCGCCCTCGGGCCCGCCCTCGGCT